GTTTTTTTCCCCGGAAAAGGGAAATTGGACAGGGGGGGCGGGAACATTTAACGGCTTAACAGGGTTTCCCCCAAGGGGGGGGGCCCCCCACTTTAAGGTTCCAATGTTCCCCCCGCCCCCAAAAAATGAAGCGAGGCCCGGGGGCACACGAAGGAGGCAAGCACGCACCCACCCCTTTTTTTTTTTGTGGTTTACGGGGCCTTCCCCCCCCCCCCCCCCCTTGCCCAGCCCGCCCGCCTCCCTTGCAGGAGGGGCACCCCGTCGTGGGGCAGATGTGTTACGACGCAAAGATCGGGTGGAACAAGCGCGCCCAGGTGTCGATGGCGGTTTGGCTTTTGATGCCGCCGCTGTTCCAGGACAACCAGGGGAGGTCCCGGGTGGGGGACGGACTCGCGAGGGCCACCCGGGAGCCCACGCCCAGCCCCCAGGAAAGAGCCCCGTGCCCCCCCCCCCCCCCCAGGTGGGCGTCTTGCTCGACGTGCCGTGCACACCCGTGCCGCTTCCTATGATCGACGCGGGCGGCGCCTCCGGGTCCGACGGGAGCTGATGAGAGAGCGGGGCGTTTGGACTTTGGTGATGGTGTGCGTGTTGCGTGTCAGCTTGGGGTGCCCACTATCTCGTGTATGGCGGGCGGCTGGCCAGCGTTGATTATCCCGGTCTTTTTTAAAAGGGCCGAGCGATTGAGGCTCGGTTCTCTCTTCTCGGGCGCTGTACGCTGTACGGTACCGTCCGCGTATGATTGTGCCAGAGTTGCCAGCGGGCGCAGCGGAGCTGGGCGGCGCTCGCGGCTCGGCGTCGCGCTCTGCTCTCAGCGACGGCTCTCCCGCGGGGCTACGAGAGAGAGAGCTCGCGCGTCACATCATTCGACTGAGCGACTTATGCAGCTCTGGAAACACACAAACGGGCGGGCCACAATCTAATTCCTGCAACCAAATGCCGCTCAGCTTTCACCTCGGGTTTGCGCGCGCATAAGCAATGATCGCAGCCAGAGTGAAGCAGGCGGTGACCACTGCGCCGGTCTGCGCGTCGTCAAACCGTGTGCCACGGATGAAGAGGTACGAGCCGAGAAAGAAGAGGGAGCCGCCGGCGACCGACTTCTTTGTCCGCTGAAAATCGTGGTCAGACAGGAGGGAGTAGCCGGCGGCGAGGCACGCGCCGGTCGTTATTGCTAGAGCCAGGCCCTTTGGCTGGATACCCACCTTCTCGGTCCCAACGAAAGGGAGGGGAGCAGCCATTCCTGGGTTCGAGATGATTGGGGGGTAGGGTAGGGTAACCGGCGAGTAGGCAGTGGTTGAAGGATGAAGGGGTCCGTCAACCACTTGGTTGATGGTTGAGACCTCTGTCAACCCGCTGGTTGACAGTTGAGGCAATCGGCCTCAACCACCGCTCTGGGCAGAAAAGGGTAGGGTGTGGTTGGGTTCGGGGGGAGTGGGCCGTGGGGGGTCGGGCGCGGGCACGGATGCGTCGTGATGTTCGTGTCATGTCATGTCATGCGGCCAAAGTTGGCCTCCGCGAGCTCCATCGGCCCATCGGGGCCCTGGGCGGAGAAAAAGCTCGATCCGCCAAGGCGTTCTCCCAGAAAAGAATTTACCGCCCTCGCCCTCTTTTGAAACCTGCCCACAAGCCCTTTGGCACATGGCTCCGCTCCTTCCACCACCTCTCACGCCCGAGCTGCTCGTCCGGTGTACGTCGTTCAATAGCCCGATGAGGTGCCGAAATCACCCCGTTTTTGCCCATTTACGGTCATCCGTCAAAATATCTGAAGATCCTACTATAGGATTCTCCCCAAACCTTGCTCAGCTGATCCAGCCTGGGGGGAAGGCCAGCCCTGGGCAAAGAAACCAGTACCTCAACCGGCTTCCCTGAGCGTCACAGCTCGGTGATCGCGCCGGCCGGACACCACTGTAACGTCCGTTCCGGGCATTTGAACGCGACCTTCGGGGGCAAAGACATGGGCTCTATGGCTCAGACTGGACTCCTCTTGGTCCCTTCTGATGCCCTAGGCCACACCTGGGCCTTACCCGGGGCTCTAGGGGCCGGGCAGGGTTTGCCCCCCGAAACTGGCCCGAGGGACCTTAAACAAGGCCCCATGAGCCATGACATGACGGCTACGGGGGAAGGACCGTGAGTTGACGGAAATCGGAGGACGCGACCCACTTCGCCACAGACGGTCCCGCGCCTCGCCGCTATGACGGCCACACGACCGCAGCTCGTGTGCGTGTGGCCGTCTTTGTCCGGAGTGAAAAGTCCAACGCGCTCGTCGGTGGCGGCTTCCTCCAACCTGCGCCGCGCTCGGGTGTCACCTGGTGGCTGACTCTCGGAAGTACGCTGTCTCTTCCGTGTCTAGGCGCACGCCCACGCCCTAAGCCTCGAACTGGCCCCGCTACCTGCCGCGCCGCTGCTGGTGGGGGGGGGGCGGCGCTCGGATCGTCTTAAGCAGCGCAACTTCGCGCCCAGAGCTCGTGGCGCGAGCAGATGCATGCGCGGTGCTGAGCACCTGGTTCTCCAGGAGACGCAGGCCGCGAGGAGAGACCTCTCGCGAGCACTCAAGGCAGGGCCAGGGGGTGCCGAGAGATCACACCGTCTTCGTGGATCGTGCTCCCCCCTCGGTGCCAGGGAGTGCGGCCGAAACCTGAGTGTCTCCTGAGACGCTACACGCTTCCCTGTCCATTTAGTAAAATGTGATCTAGTATGCAAGTACCATCTCAGAACAGCTGTGCATCTATAGATGCTTGTGGCGTCTAAGACGCAACGGTACGCCTACCGCTCTTCCCCAGCCCCACGCCACCCAGCCACGTTATTTCCTCCAGTCCGGATCGCCGCTCGCGTGTCAGCGGTAGTTAATCGTACGCCTGGCGAGCTCGCTTGCGACGCTGGCGCGCGCGGCCCTGCGGCGGCGCCGAGAGCCCCGCCTCGTGGAAGATGCGGTGCAGCGCGAAGGCCTCGCGGGTGGGCCACAGTCCGGAGGGCCCGCCCGCCCCGGCCGGCCGCGGGCCCCTCGCAATGACCTCGTATAGCTCCGAGAGGTCGCCCGTGTCCGCATCCGCCGCCGCGTCGCGGCCGCCGCCGCCCCTGTTGCTGTTGCCGTGGGCGGTGCTGATCGGCGGGTAGACGAGAACAAAGCCGTCCTTGCTGGAGAGCGCCTGCACCTGCCCGCTCGCATGGCGCTTGGCGGCGCCCGTCGTCGCGCGGAAGGTGGCCAGCGGCGCCGCCGGATGGTACCGCGAGCGCTGCGTCGCCAGGTCAGTGAAGCGGTCGGCGGGTGCCCTGGCGGCGGAGGAGACCGCCATCTGCAGCGCGGGGAACTGCAGCGTCGCCGCGAGGGGTGGCGGGCCCGCCTGGCCGTCGAGGGCGGCGAGCGCGCCGCGCAGGTCGCCGTGCACCAGCAGCTCGTGCAGCTGCAGCGGGAAGACCCAGTCGTGCGGGGCGGCGGCGGCCGCGTGGCTCGCGAGATGGTGCGCACAGCCGTGGAGGGCAGAGGAGGCATTGGGCGCGCGGACGACCCGCCAGGTGGGCGGCGCCTCGCGCTCGATGATGACGCCTGACGCGTCGGCCGAGCCGCAGTCGAGCAGCATGGCCTCGTCGAACATGTGCGCGTGGTGGCGGATCCAGTGAGGCAGCACAGCCGCGTCGTCCGCGAAGCTCGTCAGTAGCACCGCGCGCCGCGCACCGGCCGCGCCCACCAACCCTCTGTAGGTCGCGCCGATCTGGGCGGGATGGTAGTGCATCTGGGCAACGGTGTCGCCCTCGAGGGTGACCACGCGCGGCGTGGGGAAGGGCAGCACCGCCAGCACGACGCGCGGCCGCCCCGAGCGCGTCGGCGGCGCGGCGGCGAGTAGCTTCTGCAGGTTGCCGAAGAGCTCGGCCGCAAAGTTCCACGCGAACATGACGAGGGCGAGCGGCTTCTCGTCGGCGGTGAAGACGCCCTCGAGGGAGCGCGTCGGGCGCACGGGGATGGTGGTGCCGGGGCAGTACGTGCCCTGCTTCATCGGCGCGTCGTCCAGCACAAACTCGAGTGAGTGCGCCGCCGCGTTGGCGCCGCCGCGGCCGAGCATGAAGTGGAGAAGCACCATCCCCTTGGCGGCGGCGCCGTAGCCGCCGAGCCTGTAGCCCGCCGCAGAGAGCGCCGCGAGCTGGGTGTCGAGCCACGCGGACGTCTCCTCGGCGCGCATGCGGTAGCGCTCGTAGAAGAAATCGGTGGTGATGCCGAGGCGCACCTCCTCATCCAGCTTGGCCCGCAGGCTCGTGCCGCCCGCCAGCGCGCCCGACGACTCGCCGTCGGCGCGCTTGAGCTTCCACAGGCACGAGATGCCGTGGATGGGCGCGGTCTCGAAGGAGAGGACCGCCAGCTGGGCGGCGGTGGCGGCGCGCTCAAACGAGTGCGACGTGAAGAAGGAGAGGTGCTCGTGGTACGCCGTGTCAAACTGGCCGTCCTCGTGCATGGCGCACTGCGACGTCTGGATGAAGAGCAGCGTGCGCGGCCCCATCGCCGCGGCGCAGTCCTTGAGGAACTGCGTGGGTGAGGGCACGTGCGCGAGCACATTCTGCGCGACGATCGCGTCGAGCACCACCGGCTTGCCCTCGGGCGGCCACACGCTCTGTGCCCCCCAGAAGCCCACCTTGACCTGGTGCCCCTTGGCCACGGCGGTGGGCACGATGTTGGCCGCCGGGTCGACTCCGTACGTCTTCCAGCCGAGCCTCGCGAAGGCGTCGAGCTGCGAGCCGTCGTTGCATGCGAGCTCGAGCACCGCGCGCTTGGTGCGCGCGCCCTCGAGCGGGAGCGTCTCCACGTCGGCCTGGATCTTCTGCGCCAGCCACTCGAAGTGCTTGAGGAGCGTCTTGGACGTGCCCGAGACGTACATGTAGTCGGAGAAGAGGCGCTTGCGCGAGACGAGCTGCGAGAGGTGCATGTGGTGGCACTGGCGGCAGTGCACGAGCGCGAGCGGGAACTTCTCGGCGCGCAGCGCCTCCGTGGTCGTCTTCATGAAGTCATTGGCCAGCGGCTGGTCGCGCAGGTCGAGCGCGAGCTGGATGTCGTGCGAGCCGCACACGGGGCAGCGGATGGAGGTCACGTTGACGCCGCCGCTGTTGGTGGCAGGCGGAGGTGGCGCGTGCGTTAGCGCGTGCGGGCAGTGGGCGTGGTCGTGCTTGAAGGTCGGTCTTTCGGTTGGTCGGCCGGTCGGTCGGTCGCCGTCGCACGCGGCGTCCGTCGGCGTCGGCTCGTCCGCCGCGGGCGGCACGTGGACCGCCGTCGTGTGCGCGCCCTTGCCAATGAGCGAGTCAGGCGCGGCGCCGTCGAGCTGCCTGATGGCCGTGGCGAGCGAGCCGCGGACCGTGAAGTTGTACGTGCGCGCGAAGAGGGAGTTGTTGAGGGAGAAGCCGAGCACGTCCTTCGACGCGGTGCCGTGGTTGGACGCGGCGATACGCGCGCCGGTGCGCGCGGCGATGGCGGCCGCGAGCGCGCCCACATTCGAGTTGAACGAGCTCAGATGGTAGATTGCAAACGGCGGTGGCGCGGCGGGCGCCATCGAAGACGACGACGGCGCCGAACGCTTGCTGTGATGGGCCGTCGCCGGCGGCGCTCCGACGCTCGCGGCGCCGCCTCGCCGCAGCTCGATGGTGCGCGAGATGCCGCGGCACAGGTCCTCCAGCCACAGGAAGGCGCGTGACGTCTCGGGGTGAGCCACCTTGAGGACGCCACTCGTGTACGCCGACTTGAGCATGGCCGGCGGGCCCAGGTCGACGCGCTGCCCGGGCGAGACGCCGATGACGGTGCCGAAGCGCAGCCCGACGAGCTGCGGTGCGCCGGCGGGCTTGCTGGCGGCGAGCTGTCGCATGGCGGCCTCGCGCTGGTGCATCGAGGATGAGTACGAGTCGAGCAGCTCGGTGCGCACCGCCGTGTCCTCTCGCGCGCTCCGCTGGCCGGAGCCTTCGGCGATGGCGGAGGTGGAGGCGAAGACCAGCAGCTGGGAGGGGCCCATGCGCGACGCGAGCGCGAGCGGGTCGTCGACGTTCTCCGACAAGGTCTGTTCGCGCGTGTGCCGGTCGCACGCCGCCCGGCCGGTCAGCCCGCCGAGGTAGACGACCGCGTCGTACGCCGCCAGCTCCGCCGCTGGGATGCTTGCCGCGCTCATCGGCGTGATCGGGTACTTGGCGCGCGGCGGGCTCAGCCGCGGCTCGCGGTCATAACCCGTGACCTTCCAGCCGCAGTTGGCCGAGAGCACCTGCCACCGGTCACCAAGGGACGGTGAGAAGGGAGGGCAGGACCAAGGGGAGTGAGTGAGGAGGAGGGGGAGGGTTGGCCGAGGCCACCTCGTGCAGCCGCGCGCCAATGTTGCCGCCGGCACCGATGATGGCCACCGACGGCGCGGCGCCGCCCGTCGCGATAGTCGCGACGCACGCCTCCGACGCCCTCCACGGCTTGGTCCGCCCGTCGCGCCCGCCCGCGCCGCCGTCGTGTTCATGCAGGCCCTTGCCACACGCCCACCGCTTCAGCAAGCCGAGCGCGAGCGCGGGCACCGCCGGCTCGCCACCGCCGCCAGTGCCGGGCGTGGGCGCCTTGCCCGTGCCGTCGTATTTGGCGACGCCGTCGAGCGCGCCCGCGCGGCGCTCATCGGCGGCTCGGGTGGATATGTTGATCATCTGGTTGTGTTGCAACCCGGCTCCCATCTTGCGGTCACGGCTCGAGACCTTGTGGCCGATCTGCATCTTGCGGCTTCGCGTCTCGGGCCATGGCGTCCTGTGTGCCCACGCGGCAAGGAGGGCGCTAGAGGGTGGGGGCGGGAGTGGGGAGGGGGCTCGCGCTAGGTGTGCGCGTGCAAATCGCAGGGCTACTGGACACGTGCACTCTGTCGTCCGTGCGCGCGCGCGAGGGCGGGCTGGCAGGCACGGCGCCCCGGGCACGCGCCCGAGAGTGCCCGTGGAGGGTGCAGGGCGAGGGTGGGGGGCGGGGGGGGGGGGCGGCTGTGCGCACCACATGTACATGTACTTGAGGATGATGCCGCCGTCGTAGAACGCGTTATTCTCCGCCTTCGTGACCGAGCCACTCATATGATGGCGGCCCGGCGTGTACACGTAGTTGCTCCCCAGGCCCACGTGCATGAAGCGGTCGTAGAAGGCCCCGCGTCCGGGAAATGCGCCGAGGAGCAGCCCGCGCTGCGGCTCGACGAACACGCCGCGCTGGCACACGAGGGGCTCGGCGCTTGGCGGCTTGAGTGGTATCGTGTCGTCGCCCACGGCGATGAGCGAGTGGAAGTGGAGCACCCGGTGGCCGCTTGGGCCAGGGTCGAGCGCGGCGAGCCGCTCGTGGAAGCCCGGCATCACGAGGAACTCGGTGGTCGTGAGCGCGATGCGCCAGTCGTCGGGCCGCGTCATCTCCCACTGCATCACCTGCCGGTCGAGGTTCACCGCGTCGAACTCGCCGTCCCACGACGGCACGACCTTCCAGGTGCGCGGCGCGAGCTGGCGCACGAGCTCGGCCGAGCCATCGGTCGAGTTGTAGTCGATGAGGATGGCACTCGAGAACATCGGCGCGTGGTGCGCGATCCAGTACGGTAGCAGCAGCGCCTCGTTGTAAAAGTGGGACACGAGCAGCGTGCGCCTCCGCTTGGGCTGCGCGCCGGCGGCCGGCGCCGCGCGCAGGAGCGCGAGGAGCAGGGCGACGTCCCGCATCACGACACGCATATCTCGAAGCAGCGTTCGTTCGGGCCGCCGTGCACGCCAGGTAGCAGGGTATAGAGTTTTTTCTTACTGGGACACGACACAACAGCCAGGAGAGCGCGAGCGCGACCTCGGAGATCCTGGCGGGCAAAGCTGGAAAAACGCGGCGGGGCGGTCGTGGCTCGACGCCAATATTCCGTGTTGCGAGAAGGAGTTTATCAATGGAACAGGGAGATAAAGAAGATCAACTGGAAGGCGATCAAGGGGTTGAAAGGGACCCTCCCGCCGCAGCTCGGCTTGCTCGCGCTCCTCGAGGAGATCGACGTCGAGAAGACAGCCGTCTCGGGGACGCTGTCGCACTCCCTCTTCTCTGCAGCCTCCGGCATCGAGAAGGCGCCTGCCCGCCCTGTCCGTGGGCCTCCCGCCCACACTGACTCTTCATTCACACTCACGGCTGTACACTAGTCATAGTATTTCGGGTGGTGCCACGAAATCGCGGTGGCGTCCATCGCCAGGCTCCCTCTAGCTCAACCGACAACCCTCACACCTCGACAATCAACGGCCGACCGCCATGACACACCTGACACTCGCGGTGAGCGGCCGCCTCCCCCTGCGCGCGCAGCTCAAGATCAGGGAGTCCGGCATCACGGGCACCGTCCCGCCCACCCTCTTCCTCTCCGGCACACTCGAGGAGGTCTCGGCACGGGGTACGGGCCTCTCTAGATGTGGGGTGCGGCGCGAAAGCTACAGCAGATACAGTTTCCCCAACACCCCTGCTGCGTCTGGTCAGTTTTTTGCTCAGCTCATCCATCCAACTCCATCTCTTGGCACCCGACACCCCTCCTTACCATGCCACCCGTCGAATTAACCTACGGGCCGTGTTTCGAGGAGTCCTCTGGCCGCACTGTCCAGTCGGCGTGTCTGTCGTTCAACCACGGGGGTCAAGTTGTACTTCAATTCAGACGGCGCGCTCCTGAAGATGGAGGAACGTGTCAGTCGTCGTCGTGCCACGACGTTCACGTACGTCTACAAAGGGCGGCCCGGCCGCGCGAGAAGCTTGTGCGCATCGAGGCAAAAAAGAGTGAGGTACTTGGTGGAGGGAGAGGCGGAGAGCGCTGCCCCCCGGACATGCGTATGATGTGCTGCGAGAAGGGAGAGACGCCCTAGCGCCTCGGGCTGAAGCGGCCTGGCTGACGGGTGTCGGGGTCCGGCGTCCGAGAGGTCGGGCGGGCGGTCGGGCGGGCGGCCGCCCAAGTACCCTACTACCCTCCCCTCCCCTCAGTTTTCCCCTTTGGGGGAAATCCACGCACGCAGCACGCGCGCGTTTACGCGGCTGGGCCGCGCATTGAATATCTCAAAAAATCTCTAAGAAAGTTTTCACCACGGGCTGAGAAACTGAGCTGATGAGCCAGTTCCAAAAGTCCTCTCCCCCCTGAGGTCAGACCCTTCTACTCTGTTGATGACAACACTTGTCTACTCGCTGGAGCCGAGCAGGAGAGCCCAGCGCACAACCCCTGGTCAACTCACCCCGCTCCACACCCGTACACGAATGTGTGTACGGCTCTCGTAGTATTACACAATTTTTGGTAATATGTGATACTCTTTGCTGAACAATGCTGTAGTAAACACCCACACCAGCTCCGACATGCGACATGCTGTTGTGGAAACTCGAGTTCGTACACTTGTGGAAACTCGAGCCGAGCGTCGGCCACCTGGCTGAGCGACGAGCCTAAATTCGGGGTTCTATTGACAAGGCAGTCCGATTGCGGAGATCAGCAGGAGGATGTACGAAGAGATTAGGAGCAGCAGGGACCCGAGGGACCATGTGGAAGACGGCTAGTGCTAGTCCCCCATCGGGAGGCCGGACGACCCCGGCTAGTCGCCGACCACACCCACAAAGAACCCTGCACAAAGATCGCAAGGGCGGGGACCTGTTCCTTTTTACCCATCTCACAGTAGAGAGGTGTCCGTTTTTATTTATTTATTTAGTCCGTTCGGAGTGCAGCCCGGGGCCCCGGGGTGTTTCTCTCAGGGCAGTAAGGGGGAGGCCGGGAGGCAGGATCCCGGAGCCGCCCGCTACAAAGAGTCTGCTTGTCCCGCGGACGCAGGCGGCGAGACGTAGTCGGAGAGCAAGACGCACGCCTGGCCGTTCCACACCTCCGTCGGGTAGTCGCACGCGGTGCAGATGCGCGGCGGGAGGAGTTCCTCCAAAGTACCGCACGTGACGCCATTCCAGTACTCCCCGGCCGCGAAGTTGCAGCCGTTGCAGATTGGGAGCGGTTCCCCCGGGGGCGGGCTCGGGCCGGGGCCCGGCGAGGGCGACGGCGACGGAGAGGGCGGCGGCGACGGGGAGGAGCTGGCGGCGTAAGTTCCGGTCAGAGTGGCCGTCCCCGTATCGCCGTTGAAGCCGCCCAGAACGATGTAGTATTGCACGCCAGCCTCGGGCAAAACCGTGTCGATGAGTGACCCGTATGAGACGCTGCACGAGCCTTCGTCGTCGAGGGAGTCGCCGTCACACGCCACCTGCTCGAGGGAGTCGCACGAGCCCCTGAAGATGGAGAGGTCCGTGTCGAAGCCGCAGGCGGTCAGCTCGAGCGCCACGCCCGGCCGCACGTCCTCGAGCTTGAGCCAGTAGACGGGATCCTGGCCGGTGAATTGCGTGTTGACGCACTGCGAAGGGTTGTAGCTGGGCGAGCTGACGCCGACCGCAATGGGGACCACCACCGAGAAGGAGTTGCTCTCGGTCGCGGCGTCGCCGAACGAGGTTGCCGCCGCGCACGTGCTGCCCGCGCCCACCGGCGGCGGGGGAGAGGGCGGTGGCGCGGGCGGCGCGGGCGGCGACGTTGGCGGCGACGGGGAGGAGGGGGGCAGGTTGGTCGGCACGGCGAAGCGCAACGCGGCGCGGAGGCCGGCGAAGATCTCCTCTGAGGCTGGCACGATCTCGGAGGCCGGCGCGACGAAGCCATACCCGCCGGTGTCGCGGCCCTCGATGGTGTACGCGTGCTTGATGTAGGCCCAGTCAGGTGTGGGAGGTCGCGCCTCGATCGGGTCGTACGCCCAATCGGTGCTGTCGCCAGTCGTCACGTAGATGGTCGAGGCTGCCGGACCATACGTGTACTGCTTGCCGTGCACTCCGCGGATCGCCGCGACGGCCGCCGCCGACAGGGCGTCGTGCTCGTCGTCGTGAGGCGCCGCGGAGTACAGGTAGCCCCACGGGTAGAGCCACATTTGCGAATAGGTGTGGTAATCGATGAAGAGTTTGAAGTGCGAGGAGCCGTCCGCCTCGGTGCCGAACTGGGTGACGAACTGCTGGATCCTCTCCACTTCGGGCTCCGAGCCTGCCCGCGAGCCGTGGTAGACATCGCTGCACGGGTTCGTGCTCGAGCCGGGCACGCCGCCCCACGCGCGGTGCGCCCAGTTTCGGTTTGGGTCCGTGCCGACGCAAGAGGAACCCGCGTTCGGCGAGCGCGTCTTCCGCCACCAGCGGTCGGTTTCGCGAGAGTACTCGTAGCCGTCGGGGTTGGCGATGATGAGGAAGTAGAGGTCGAGCGAGT